ATGTTTTCAAAGTAAAACCACCATAGTTAGAAAGTTCTCTTGCTAAGCCCACTTTTCATGTGTTCCTGACCCATTCACATCAAAGAAATGAGCACACAGAGCTACACACATCTCCTGAGAATTGTCCATCAGCAATGCAGGCAGGAATATGAAGGAAATGGTTTTCACCCTTGGGAGTACCCAAAGGCTGCTTCAGTGCCCAAAATCAGATCTACAAATCCTCAATGACAGGAAAGCAACATCTTTGAGTGTTCAAGCCGGTTGTACAGATATGACAATGGTACTACAAACGCTTATGATCTATCTATAGTCTACTACAACCGCTTGAACTATTAAATAATTCCAATCTTTTTTCTCCCTTCGTCATACATAAAGCATGCCAACTCCACATGCAAGAAACCTGCTGCTCAGGGAATTAGATACCACGTCAGCATTTGGGCACCGCTTTGGGCAGCTGAAAAGCAAGTCTGCTTTTCTGCAACTCAGGAAGAGGCAAATGACATCAGCCAGTTCCCAAAAGATCGAGACAGGTTCTCAAACAACAGGTCAACAAGTGGGTGCTGAAGGGACTAAACCCTCTGTCGTGCCCGGCAGGTCTGGGTGCTGGTGGGAGAGCAGGGACCGGTACCCAGGACAGGGCTGGGCTTGCAGGCTCCTGCTCTGACCAAGTAGGGCCAAATCTTCTCAAATCCCCCCCCCCCCACCCCCCCCCAAAAAAAAATATGCTTTACAGAACGCTCACATAAAGGTGCATGTGACTCCCCTCGAGCTGCCTCCCTGCCCGAGCGAGGTCTGTTTATTCTGGCACCCAGTTCCCAGCACCCACCCAGCTCCTGGACAGGATGCACATAACAATCCATCTCCTGCTTTCGACTCTTACCCATTTGAAGTGTTTTAGTTTTGGCTATCTTAGGTTCTTCAAACTTGAATAAGGATTAAAAAAAAAAAAAAAAAAAAAAAAGACTTTATCTGATTTGAAGGAAAAAAAGATGTTTTATTAACAAATAGGCGAAAGCATTGTAAGAATGCTCAAAACTACTTATGTTCCCACAGTCCTTGCAGCCACACACAGAACTTCTCAAATGACCAGATCACTACATGACCAAGAAGTGAACCACTGAGTGTATGAGAAGGAAGTGACTCAGACTGAAATTCATAAAGGACAGCATGAATGGGACAGGATTTCCGCTTACAGCTCTTTTTACATGGCAAGGCTCCTTTTTTTTAAAAAAAAAAAAACAAAAACCAAAAAGCAAAAAACCAAAACCAACACAAAAATAAACCAACAAAAAAAATCCCCCACACAACTCCCCCCCACCTCCCCTTCAAAAAAAACACAGAAAAGCAACCTTGCTCCCTCCTTTCCCATTCAGTTTTTAAAACAGCTCTGCTGGAAAGCTACTGCATGGATTTTAAATCAGAATCTCTATGTCACACCTCCAAGTCTTCTCCCTATACAAGACACCATCCATCCTATCACAACAAATGCTTAGAATGGTTGCTAACTTTTCAGACAATAAGCCATCATCTTCCTTTTTTTTTGCCTTAAAATGGCATATTTCCAGCACCAGCAAAACTAGAAATCTTTATTTACAAGTGTACCTCCAGACATACAGACACAATGTGGAAAAGGCCAGAGGGAATGCACTTAAATCACCAATCTGAAATTGTAATTTCCCTACTAAAAAGAGGTCCTGATGCTATGTTATAGGGCCAGCCTGGGATAAGGGTATATAATAGAAGCACCAACATATTATTAATGTACCACCACGCTGTACAGAGCACAGGGTGGTATAGAGGAGCACATGCAGGTTCCACAACTGGAGAGGTGATTGAACCGAAAGTACTCCAGAGTCATTTACTTACTTTATTTTGGTACTATTGTTGATGTTATCTCACCCCACTTCTTCTATCAGTGCTCAAGAAGCTTTTTGGAAAACCCCTGGTTCTTTTACTATTGGAAAGAAGCACTAAGTTATTGAGACATAGCAGAATTTTCCTTGAGCACCTACTCAAATGTCACAGGCACAATATGTGCAATGAGTATATATTTTGATGGAGAAGTACATTGTTAACTTAAGTATCTCATGTTCTGTGGTTTATGTCATACCTTTTCAGGGGAAGAAAGCAGAGTTGTCCTTGTATTGTACACTGAACATTTTATTGAATATTATTCTTACAGTACACTGCAACAACCTCATCATAGCAGAGACTGCTTGGAAGTACTAAGGAGCAACGCACCCCTCAAAGAAATAACTACCAAGTAACAAGGAGCAAGGGAGCAGATCCAAGATCCCTAAGGAAGAGAATCTCTATGTCCTGCTGCAGCCCTACACGCTGCTGCACGCTGTTTTCTGGGGCAGCCAGGATTTTGGCTGTGCAAGGGGCTGCTCCAGGGCTCCCGAAGCTCCGCTCCCCGGCAGGCAGCGCGGCGGTGCCGGTGACAGCAGCTTGCCAGGAGCTGGATCACTGGATTGCTCTGACACCCAAACACCCCTAAATAAGCACGCCAGCTACCACTGCATGAACACACACGCCCCTCCAACCAGATATGGAATGACATGCTACAGAAGACATCAAAATCTCAATTAAGAAATTCATGCAAATGAACCCATCGGTTCCAGCTCTTCACCTCGCTCTGGGTTTTACTCTAAATTCATACATTCCCACTTGCCTCTTAAGAGGTTTTTGGCAAAGTGGTCTTCTAAATAAAGACTCTTATTCTCTACGTATTTTTTTTATATATATATATAAAATAGTTTTTCCAGGCTATTCCAGAATTTTGGAAGCTGCCACACAGGACCATCGAATTTTTAACTACTCACAGGCTTGAACCGATACACATCCACAAAACATGTAAGTTTAAATGGCTTTGCTGCTTATTGCTTCTGACACATTCTTTTTCTTGTCTACTCTATACACACTGCCAACTTAGCAGCGTGAATCAAAATTACCAACTGTTTCCAGATTGCTTTTAACTCTTACCCCAATTACATATATAGCCATATTAGTCAGGTATCAATCAATAAATCCCCTAATAATTCAAGAAGAAACAGAGAAGGTAAATATAAAACAGCAGCTATGACTAGAAGCTTATAAATACCAAGTGGGAACTTATTTTAGGGCTTTGTTAGGTGAGAGCCGTTAAAAACCTAACAACCTTTCTGCAGAAATTTGCATATAGGCATACACGTATGACTATAACAATAGACTTTGATGTGAAAAAGTTCACATTTGAGTCTACAGTATTTTTTTTCTCTTTTAATATGAGAAATTTTCTCCTATTCCTGCTTTAGCCATGGACTTTGCTGTAGAGCAGTCTGACAGCGACTCCTGAGCTGCCATCTCTGAAAACAGATGCAGAACTTAAAACACCAGCGAGTTGGATTTATGAGGAGGGTGGGACAACTGACGCTTATTTGCATGGTCTCCTGTTATGAACAATTTCCACCATTTGGAGGAAGACTCCATCATTTCTGATTCCCAGTTTTAAGGTGCTCTCTGGTTGACAGACTGGACGTGCCATAGCCCTGACTTCACTGATTTTCTTGGCATTTTAACAGCACTCATGATCTTCAGCTGGAGCACTGCATACTACTCCAAGAGAAAAAATTAGACCTACACAAGGGTTGAAAGAAACCCTTAAATTAGATATTTTTAAATTAAGTCTAGATTATTTTAAAAGTGATCATCCAGGCTGACTTAGTACCTGCTGAAGCTATATTGTGCAATTTAGCAGTTAAGACTATACTTTATTCCAGGTTTTTCATGCAGGTGATTCCAAACACCTCGTATTCTACCACAGACTACAGTAAAAAAATATATAGCTAAACATAAATAAAAACATTAAAGGTTGTATAGGCTGATTGACAAGAAATAATCAGGAACTCTAATGCAGTGATTCATTTTCTTGGATTAAAGCATTAGCAAATACAGCTCCTTGCCAGTTCTAAAGACCCCAAAGCACGGCTGCAAATCCTCATTCCTTAACACAACGGCAGCAATTTTTTCCCCTTTGGCTATCAATGAAGTTACTTTTCATGAATATTTATTTCAGTTACATCTCACAAGTAAAAGCACACAGCCAAATAAATATACACAACATACAGATAATGGAAAACCTATGTTGTATGCATACATTCACACAAGATATTTCAAAGTGCACTACATTATAAATATCCTAGACGTGCTGGGTATAAGCTTGCTTACTACATAGGAGTTAGTTCAGCCAGAAGTCAGCAGAGACAGGCAAAGAAAGGCTGAAAAATATAATGGATTATAACAAGTTACTGAGCTAAATTTAGGTAGAATTGGCTATGTGCAAAATGGCTTGTGATAAATAAGTTTGACTAGATGAATAACTTAATGTTTTATTGTAAAGCTCCAATTTTTCAAATGAGAAGCCTCTGAAAAAGCTGAAAAAAAATCCTTTCAAAAGTAGAGAGATTTATTTGACCACAAATTCCAATGGCTAAGATTAAGCAATTTCTCGTCAAATTTCTTCTGTTTCAATGAATCATACTTCCACTGAACTCTGACAAAAACATACTTGTTTTTTCAGCCATCACCTCTAAACTTCCTAATAAGTTTCCTATATTTACCTAGGAGATTCAAAGTAGTGATACCTAGCAGTCAGGTTTTGGTTATAGCTCAATTGTCCTTAAGGATTTTTGTGAAGTGCCAAGATGCCTGTATGAAAAGCAAAATAAAACGAGGAACTTGCCCATAAAATGCATTTTCTGTTTCCAACAGATAAAAAGAGAATGATGCTGCATCTACCAGGGAGCAGTCATGAAAGATGGGGAGGCAACTGGTTCATCTTACAAAACAAATATGGTATAGCAAGTTCAACACTTATATTTAAGTTCACACTGTATTAACACTGTCTTTATGTGTGGGTGGTAGTGTTTTTTGGCATAGTTACTAGATCCATATAAAGGCAGTCATAAGCTGGAAAGGTGCAATAAAAAGGAATTAAAAATAAATAAAACTGTCTTTACCATGTGGGTCTTGTTCATTGGACTTTGGGCTGCTTCTTGCTCTGCGCTCCAGTTTCTTTACTGCCGGAGCCCCCCCGCCGCCGCCGCCTCCGCTGCTTGCTCCATTGTGGCTCTTTGCATAACCATTATATACAGTTGTGCAGCTGCCTATATGGCTTTTGTAGATGGATGAAGGAGGACTATTCAGACGGTTTTGGCGATCAATCTGCCTGTCTTTGAGTTTTTTGTGCTGTGGTTTGCTGTACTGATCTTCCCTGGTAATGTAGCTGGACATCCCATACAGTGGTATGATTTCTGAAACGAAAGAATTCACCCACAGTAATTCAGAACAACAAAATCACTGAATTTTTTCAGAAAACCAAATTCCTGACCATCTCCAGATTTTCCTGGAGGCAGATTTTACAACACACCAATTTTTTTGTTTGTTTGTTTTTAAAGAAATCTTTTCAGGAGGACTGATGGTGCTACTGTATTAAGTGTGCTCCACTGCTAGAGCATAGGATTTCATAACTCTTTGAATGAGTGTGTAAAATACAGCAATTAGGGTGATAGTTTTTCCCCTCCCTTTTCAGCCTTTGTGTTTCGAGGACACAGATTTCAAGCAAAAATCCAGGGAGACTGATATTTAGGAGAAAGCCTTCATAAGATCACAGTAATTTAGCAGTTTCTTCCCCAGGGCCTGACTGGATAGAGTAAACTGAGAATGCCCTGGTTTCAAGCTGCCATCATTGATTACATGCAATTTAATTTCCTAGCATAAACAGACTTTACAACGGCGTCAACTGTGCCTGCCTAAGGAGAGAAGTGCAGCATGAAGTGGAAGTTTTGGGTAAATAGAACTGACTAAAAAAAGCTTAAAGAAATATTATCAATATCATATCTAGATTTCAGATAAACTTCATTAAATACAATCCCCACTTCCTCTCTCCAAGAATGACTATCTCTAACCTAAGGCAGGTCAGCTTGCAGGAATCAGAATATTTTCTACTTTTCTCTATAGTTCAGTCTTCCTTTTTACGTTCCACTTTGAGTCTGAAGCTTGAACAAATTAATGGCCAAAACAAGTTTTGCCTTTGTTAGAAAAAACCCAATTGATACTTGATATATTCTTCATTTTTTTATTTACATCCATTCAGAAGTTATCATACAAACTTCTGAGGCAAACATCCTATGCAGCCATTTGAAGCCTTGTAAATTGAGATTGCCATATATACACTGTATTATAATTTTCCAAGTTGTTTCAGCTAACCAGATTTTTGCTTTGCTAGTTTGCTGTGTCTTAGTCTTCATCTTTCCTTATCTAGCTACATGACTCTGTTCGTATTCTCACAGCAACTAGCTGTCTAAAACCAGCATGCAACAAAAAAATGCAATTTTTGTTTTATTTATAAGACATTGTACAGCAAATGGGAAACAGTAGATTAATACTCAGCAGTACAATATTCACCACTTCAATTATTTCAGTGTTACAGATGTTAAAAATTCTTTTTAACTTTTAAGTCGAATCGGCTTCTTGGTATCTCCAGGCCACAGAAATATTTAAGAGCTACTTAACTAGCAGCCCTGTGTTCACTTTGCACACTACCATGTTTGCACAGAAGACTTTGTCAAGCAATCTGATAAACCATCCTGTTCCCTTTCGAAGGGAAAAGTCCATCCCTTACGTATCTGGTTGGCTACAGAATCCTACTGGTTTCTTGAGCTTCCCACTTCTTTCCCCCTCCAGTATAATGAAGTTAAATGTCAGCTGTAAGAGTCCACTCCCCACTAGAAAATGAGGTCTGTTGGTCAACACAAACCTCAAGCGGTAGCATCACTAGACACCACCCCCTCCCTCTGCCCCTTCCTTCCCACTCCAGCAGAACCTCACTTCTGGTGATATGGCTTAAACATATTCTTTAGAAAGCATCTTAACTCCAGGTAGTTCAGCAGACATGTAAAACCATGAATCGTGAAGTGATTTCCATGTTAAACATCTCAAGTAGCTTTGCTGATTAGTTTTTTGGTTAACGCCTTCTTCCAGATTACACAAAGACTTATCTCCAGGGTGGCACAGACAAAATAGTGCATAGTTCAGACAGAAATATGCCCCTTTCACTCTTTTTCTTGCAATTATTTACTCATGGCCTGATTAGGGTTGCCATGCTACCCTTTAGTACCGGACAATGCCTTTCAGTGACTTACTGCACAGTCTCCACTAGAATAACAAACAGAAAACGCCTGTTATTTCTTAGAAAACCACGGCTGGGGGGCAGAAAGCACATTAGAGCCAACAGGAAGCAGCATTCAGCTTTTCCCAGTGGAAACTACTGCGGCAAGCCATGCTCGAAGCCAGCCCTCCATATCCATCCTCATTCCCAAGCCAGGACTAATACACTCTGTCTCTTGGTTTCCTGTACAGCGCTGCATCGTGACGCAGCAAGAGCAACTGGGATGACTCATGTCCCTAGTTTGAAGCATGGGATGAGACATTTTTCTCCCCACTGTATTTACAAATTAAGTTAAAATTGGTTTTGTTTCTGCAACCTACTGTTGCAGCATAGGATTGCCCTGTGTTGCTGCACTCTGGATGGCTACACCCCTGCTCTGGATGCTAAAGAAAGAGGCTCCATCTGTGTAGACAAAGCCACTCTACAAGCTCTCCAAATCATTTCCACTCTTGGTTTCACTCGCCTTTAAAACTCGCTGAACACAGGTGTGAAATGTCAGTACCTTCCTTCCAGCTCACCTTGTTCTCCATATATTGTTGGGGGAAGATGGTGCTGTGGGAAAAACTGTGGTGGCATGTCCCCAGGTCCAGTGACGGGAGGATAAAAAGCTGTGTGAGAGTTGTGAATAAAATGGGGATGGTGCGTCAGGTATGGAGGTAAGTGATGGGTTGGAGAGATGGCCGAAGGGTAGCTAGGAGGGTAACACTCCGGAGACTGAGGGGTAACCACCACCCTCCGAACGCCGGTGTTGTCTTCTATCACCTGGAAGGGAAGGCAGGGAAATGAGCACGTTATGCAGCATCTGAGCTGAACATATTTTTAAAACAGCACTGTTTACAGTTTGTTCTCCCATTAGAAAATGGTTGGTCCTTAGGTTTATTCATAAACACATTTCTAAAATGAATAGCAGCAGAAGTAATCACAGTGGTGACGTGGCTTTTCTTGGAGACAACTCAGACACACTAATCACTGGGAGACTTGCTGCTGCTAGTGATAACCATGTGGGTAAGAGACAAAATAAATAACCTGTATTTAAGGAGTAAGATAATTGAAAAGGAACACAAAGCACCAAAATAAGAGTACTCATTGGGACCAACCTTACATTCTATGCATAAAATTTCTACTGCTGATTTTGAGAACACTCTGAGTGAATACAGAGTTTGTAAAGTTTGGAAATTAGCTGGCACTGCTACTGTGGAGAAGTTGCATGTGTGCACAGAGACATATACTCTGCAGGAACCTGTGTTGAGACACGTTTTCAAAAGAATTGCTCTGTTCACAACAGGTATCTGTTCAAGACAAATCATAGGGCAGAAGGTTTTTTTCTGCTACAGAGCTGGTCTATACATCTGTGCAAGTCAGCTCTGGAATATGCATACCTTGGCCCCAAATGCCACAGCCAAAGCATGTAAAACCAGATGTAGGATAGTGGAAATGTACTTAGGCTGAAAAAAGTTTTTCAGCTTATAATTTTTCCAGACCTATATTTCTGGACAACAGTCAACCAGCCAAATTTCAGTCCAGACTTAGGAGCCAAACTTTTCTTGAAGCTTATTCAAAAACCCTCTGCCATTTCTAGAACGCAAAAATACAACCACGTAAGAACAACTTCTGTCCCTTTGGTTCTGTAAGTGACATGCGTAACGTAGAAAAGCACCAAGGAAGCATAATTTAGTTTCATACAACAAACAAGCTGTTAAAAACGTAAGTTTTTCTAAACTGACTGATGACACACAGATGGAATAATACATGTGATGAACGTGTTATGTGAGATAAGCAAATGTGCATTAAGGACACCTGTCATAAGATGTGGCCGCTCTCAGCTGATTGCCACCAACACCAGCTGGAGTTATCAACCCCCCATAGCAGCATCCGCAGAAGAGACTCTGCCACGCTCCAGCGACCCTCGTCACATCACAGCACCTTAGCCTAGACCACAAAGAAAAAGTGGTTTATGCTGATATACCCTGAGGTGAAGCGACGGCACGGGCACGTGGTGGTTTCTGCTGACTGTGCTGCAGAGGGACAAGCCCTGCCAGAGAGGCGATGCCACAGCCGTGAGCCGTAGTGCCCCAGCAAACACGAGTCTGTGCCTCAGGCAGCAGCTGAGCAAGTTATGACATGGCAAAATTTAACTAGTATTACCTGACCCACTTCCTTCCTCAGGCCATGTGTGTCCTAAGGTTATATGAATTTGCTCCTGTTAGCTATGGGCTGCAACCACGGGACACGCACAATTTCTGTGCACTGGCTGGCCTCCTACAGAATAAAATTTTCCTACAGAAAGTTAATTCATTCGTTTGTAATTGATACTTTACATTAAAGAAATGCATTGGTTGCTATGCTGTGTAACCAGAATAGGAATTGTTTAGCCTAACATGATCCTAACCTCTAAATTTACAACTTAAACTAACAACTTGTTGTCTGCTAGCTTTCAATTTTGAAGCCTTGACAGAGTCCTCAGAAGACAGACGAACCTCTTAGATTTACACTATCACATCATTGTAACTGCTGCATTTTCAGGCCTCCCATCTCTGCTACTGATTCTACTCAACCTCCACAGCATCTGTTATCCTGGCACCAGGTCTCAAACCTGCACTCTGAAACCTGGAGAAGAAGAAAATCCTTTTCTATTTAGCACATATTTGAAAAACTAAACTACTTATTTAAGACTGTGCATAGAAATGCTGGACTTAGCTCTCAGACTTTGATCATGCTCCAATTTAACTAAGATAGTGAGTTCCTACATCCTGATGTGAAAAGTTTTCATCATGGCTTTAACTAGTCGAAGCCCCAGAGACTACTTCAGTCTTCCAGGCGGGTACAAGCTCTTATCCATGTATCTAGACCAGACTGCATGAGTATTTTGTGCTCTAGTGAAAGATGAATATGTTAAGGAACAGATTTAGACAGAAAGCTTGTACTCTGTAGCAGCACATAATATAAACCATATTTAAAATTATTAGGATTCTTCTTCCTGGACTATCTGCTAGAGAGCAGAAAGGAAAGCTCAGAGTCCTGTCAAAGACCTTTTTGATGAAATTATCCTGCTAGATGAAACTATAAAATATCATCAGTAGTGAGAGAAAAGCCAGAGATGAGGGGATAGGATAGAATAGAATAGAATTTCAGTTGGAAGGAACATACAGTGATCATCTAGTCCAACTCAAAGGATGACCCAGCCTTCCAAATGACTTTTGTCAAAAAGCTAAGAGACTAGTCTCTTTTGTTTCCTCCCAGGCCACGAATGCTGACAGCATTCTTGTTACTACATGTGCCTGTGTTCCAAATGAACGCAGAAAGATAGGGGACCTTGCAAAAAAAAAAATGTTTTATTTCCATATCCTACAGGGCATGTTCTCCCTAAACCAAGTGTTTTTAATAAATATATATATATTTAAAATTTTTGAAGCTCCACATACAATCTTTAATTACGCTATTCTGTCCTTAACAGATCATAAAATTGGTAAACCAATGTATTATGTATGATATGCATTAGATGGCTATAAAACCAGCACAGGTTAAGACTGTAGATATCTCTTGGAGTGGGTAGACTGTAGTAGTGCCATTCTGGGAGATGACACTCCTTCAATTCATCACAGACAGAGCAAATGAGTTTTAATCTGTAAATGTAAGTAACATAACATAACTTAGCAGAGATGTTAAACTTTGCTATTTAAAGAAGAAATCTCCCATTCCTTGTATCTGCTTAAAACCATTTGTCATGAAGATCATAAATTCACCAGGAAATACTGTCTGCTAAACTGTCTCTACCTCAGTGCCAAGAAGCAATGAAACCTTAATCCCTGTTGAGGTCTCTAGATGACACTGGAATATTAAAAGTAATTGCTATCGCTAATTTTAGCGGTTTATAGTTAAAGAAAACAAGTATTCCTGGTCATTTGGCACCTCGAGCTAAACTTTCGTTATTTTGTGTTTTTCGAATAGTTACTATGTAAATTGACTTTTGTTGTTATTTTTTAATCTTGATGGTATAATTGGCATGTCGCCTTAATAACAATATTATTATAGCATATTTCTGGGTGGGTTTTTTCCGTATTTTAGGGAGCTTAATTGCTGAGTGAGGTAGATGATCTTTCAGGACAATCTGGATGAACATTACTCATGCACAATAAAATTGCCTCCTCCCCCATGGGTTGCCACATTTTGAGAATACCATTCTAAGTAATCTCTGTTTTACATCAAAGACATCACTGTAGCAATGAAAACTCAGTTAACTGGAGATAAGTCACATATTCAATGTACAACACCACTCCATATTCTCTCATTTTTCTTCACTGAAATTTAATATTACACCTTCAGAAGAGAGACAGGCAAGTTAATTTGGCACAGGCAAACTGTACCTGTGTTTTGTGAGTTCCAGTTAAAGGAATACAATCATTCTCATTCTTTAACACACATGTTCATTGAACGGGTATAATATGGTAATATGCAATTAATTTCCACTTGCTTTCAAAAAAAAAAAAAAAAAGTCTTATTTCCCTTAGTGTACTAGATTCATCAAGGACATCTGGAGCATGGCCACTGGGTGGACCACAACCAATACTTTGGGAATTTCATAAACTAATTTGAAACTTCATTCATAAATCAATCTGTACCAAAGAACAGTACAGAATGAGCTCATCCACAAGGAACTTGGATGTCAACATTTTATTTGTTCACTTAATTTCTTAAGGATGCCAATCTAAACTCGTGCCAGCCTTGACAAGTTTGCTTCACTATATTTGCCATCCATCATGTACACACATCTGTACCCTGAGCCTGGAAAATAGACAGATGAACATCTGTGGCTGGCAGGAATGTTGAGGTATTTTATATCTAGAACAGTTCAGTTCTTCAGGACCAATGCTCATGAACTTGAAAGGATAATCACTTTATGGCTTGCTCCACATGAGTATGAGATCTGCACAACCGTCCTTGTGTTCAGAGTGTTACAGAGGATCATCCTGCTCAAGGATGACTCGATTGATCGCAGTCTACAAAACACAGAGATGCCCTGTGAGCAGTAAGCCATACAAAACCAAAGAATTCGTGGCTAAAAGCTTATGCTAGCCAAACATGGTTTTGGAGAACACCTCTCAAGGCAGAGGATGTACCCAAGACCAAAATCCTGATTCCTGAGGATGTGATGGATTTTCTGACACTTTAAATGTCATTCAAAGACTTTCCTCTTTCTAGAGGTTATACTTTAGTTCTGTCAACTGCTGTGTGCTTGATGCAGGAATACCGAGATGCAGGACCATGGCTTGAGTTGCATGGGTCAGACTATATGACCCCAACGTTACCTCCTGACAAAAGAAGTCTTATCAGCGCTATGCATACTTCATGCTCCAACCAGTAAATTAGTCCTTTAGCCTTAAAATATCTGTGGCAGAGACCGCATATTAACAACTCTGTAAATAAAATCAAAAGCCAAGTTTCATGCCAAATTTTCATGTCCAACTACACATGAGTAATCCCTCAAACTCCAGTGGAATTGCTCCAGTTTTATTTCAGAGAGAATAGTCCTCAGCCAATAGCCCTAAGCAAACAAGTTCATGATCTTGCTTTTTGGTATTCCCATTTTTCTAGTTCTCCTCACTAGAACACTCCAAATCCTCCTTCCCTCCTCCCAAACATACACTGTAAAAAGCAGAAACAACCACCCATGAAGATGTCCCCAAATTTAATATCTTAGCATCCAAATGATGATCTTTAACCTTCAGATTATGCTGGCACCAGGGAGCTAGAGCGCTCTAGGAGCCAGGAGAAGGCATCAGGCCACAGACCCTGATAGCAGGGAAGCAGCTCGGAGCTGGAACAGGCATTAACAGCTCGTGCCCTGCTCGCCAGAAGTCATAGGAGCTGCTCCTTCAGTATTCAACAGTTCAAGCCAAAATTTTTGTCACTGCATGCATTTAATATAGATTTCTCTACCACGTCACCTTCCACAACTAACTTCTACAGTAGCAATACTGTCCACCAAGAGCATGGCAAGGAATTTTTTCTCTCTTTTATATTTAAGTAACCCTTAGCCAACTAAGAATTGCAGAGACATGAACTCTGATCTGATAGTTCATATCTGCCAGAGGTGCACAGAGGTTTGCTGAAAAGGAAATGCAGAATAACTGGCTGTATTGAACCAGTCTTTGAAAGCAAAACCACAGCATGAAAGACCCTGAACTGGTGCTGTATGTTTGTCTTCTATTACTTTCCTGGATTTTTTTCCCCACCCTGGCTAAGCCTCATCATTGGGAACATCTCCTTAACATCAACAAAACTGGCTTCTAGTCATGACTACTGTTACGGTCCTTGAAGTCTAGAAATAGAGTTTAACTATTTTTCCACTGCTTCCAGTGGAGCTGATCTTGCAGGGCACACAACCTCCTGACAATTTTTTGCTGATCATTTCAAAAGAAGTAATGAAGCATCATTTTAATCCAGGGTTGAAATCACTAGATAACTAATGTAATATTTAAGGCTAATACTCACAGCTCCAAGAGGCCTGATGTAACAAAATGGAAAAAAGATTTCATGCCTTTTTTTAATAGGCACTGTTACTTCGCTGCCGGGGTATCTGCTTTCTGCCTGACTTAGATGTACACTTTGGGAACAAATCAAACCAAAAATCAAATATATTTTGATTCATATCTTAAAGTGAATTAATTTGCTTTACAGCCTTTCCCTTGCCACTCTAAATTTGTGTTCTTTTTGTTTAACATAAAATAGAGCTTTTAACTATGAGACAATAGAGAAAAGCAAGAGCAAATAAGAGAAATTCATTACAATAAGAACTAATTTGATTACTACACACTTTCAAGTACTACTTAACATGAAGCAGTCTGAAAGGCAAGAGGCTCTCTCGCCACACAGAAGAACGCACATTCTGTTGCCGAAAAGCATTGAATAGCTTTCCCCTAGAACTTTAAAACATATTTCCAGCTCCTTTGAAAAATCTCTTTAGAAAAGGGGTTTGGGTTGGTTGTTTTTTTGTTTTGTTTTGGTTTTTTTTTTTTTTTTGGTTAAGGTACTATTTAGAGGCTTCTTTAGTGGAATTACTATGGTGCCCCACAAAAAGCACTGAAGAGGAACTGAGTTCAGACAGAGATACAACTAGAAGATTTTCACCACGCTTGTTTGGAAATCATTTCAACTACACCTAACCATTTATCTCAGTACAGGGGCTGAGAGGTATAAACATTTTATTAATAAAAAGGTGTTAGGCTTTTTTCAAAGGAAACATAAGTCATTAAAAAATTCCTCTGCATGATATGGGCCAGTTTATTAAATGAGGTGAGTGCATGAGGAGTGTTAAACAGCACTGCAAATGTTCCCTCTCTCAGCGGACCCCAACCACCCACCTTGGGATGCCTGAGGAGCAGGAGGAAGCTGGACCACCCTGCCGTCCTGCGTGCCCTCTCTCCTAGGCTGGCTAACGTCGCCCGGACTTGAGGCATGTTTTCACTCTGTTCAGAAGTTAAAATACCACAGAGTGATTGCAGTATTTTGTGGGATTTAAGTATGACGCCATCCACAATTTTTCAGAATTACACAATCTCACATGTTTCCTGGGGAGGGGAATGAATTCCAGGACATCATCAATTTTCTGCTTAACAAGACGCCAAGATATATGTATCAAAAGTTCTTATGCTGTTCATCAAGGATATCTGAAATACTTTGTATACTTTTAATGAAGCTTTCAGTCCAGCCCAGGTCGCAATGAAAGTGGTGAAATTATTGGATTTATTGTATTGTTCACAGCTATTCTGCCTTACATCAACCTTTCTTTTTTTTTTTTATTTTTTTCTTCCTTACTTCAGGAAGCTGAAAAGCTTTTTCATTTTTTTCCATAAATAGGTAACTAAATCACCTTTATTCTTGAAAACAATGCCCCCAGTTCCTGATATGCTGCAGGATTTCTGCTGGGAAGATACTGAGGATCAGCAGCATCTTTTATAGCTACAGCAGCTCCTTTTTTCACTTCTACCAGTCTTCTACACCTTCTGACTGTCACCCTACAAATTAGGGCATCACCTAACAAAGTGGACCTCTCTCTCTCTCACAGAGAAAGGGAAGTTGCACATACAGGCTCAATCCATGTGCCTAGCTTTTGCTAGTGTTAAAATACCCCTGGTATACATACTAGTGTGTGAAGGTGCACATGCACACTCACTTGTGCAAACGTGTGTGTGCACTGTCAGTAAAGATGAGAAGTGTGAAAATGTGTATTACCGTTTTCATTAATATTTCTAAATTAAATTTCAATCAAGTAGACTTCTCTATATGGATCAATGTTATTGTTTTTATATACATTTTAATTCTTCAGGAAGCATACCTGTGAGATATAACCGGGAGGCACATGGATAGGGGGAATGGATCCATTGGGTGACATCATGGGAACCTCTGCTGGCCCTAAAAGAAAGAGAGAAATAAGATATTAGTTTTTTCAGTTAAAAAAAACTGCACAGTTGCTCGGAAAAGGCCAAAAATAGCTTTATTTTTGAAGCCTGCAATAACAAAATGAGCAGCTCCACTCATATCTGGTATATGGAAAATGCCTGGTGCCATCATTCTGAGAATAAGATCATTGTTCAATGACTTTACCATATATTCCGTTGAAATAATATTTTCATCATAAAACAGCTAAAACATAGACTTTATATTACCCACTGATCAACTTATACAGCATTAAGCAGTAACACAATATGTCCTTTAGCAGCCCACAATTCCTATATTGAAATCTGGTTAAGTTATTCTTGTCGAAGGCATAAGGGCAGAGAACAAAGCAGAAACTGTGCAGCCTGGAATTAGGCAGCTCCCAAGGAAAGCGTCCAATTGTAGCAAAAAAATTCACATATGTGAAAAACTATCTATCTATTTAAGAATGCACAAAGACCAAATTCATTATCTCAGCTATTCAGACTAACCTTGGAATGTAGTTATACAAGCAAGAAGCTTATGGTTTCCACTCCAAAATCCAGCCCTGAACATGAAAGTTCCATTTTGAGGCACTGAGTACATGTATAACAAAGCAAGTGCCATAACCATTAGACTTCTGCAAACACAGCTTCACTGCTAAAATAAAGTGTCTAGATAAAATGGAAATAGTTCGCTCAATTACTCAAAGATTCAAACATTAAAATCAGTAACATCACACAGAGCAGTCAATAAGATGAAACCGCCCCCCCAACATCAGACAGATGTTTGCAATGAGAGTTTACTACTTTGAAAAAGAAAAAATTATTTCATTACTTCCTTATTGCATATTAAAATGTTTACATTAACTTGTTAGCTGATTTTCCACGGGCTAAGAAAATAATCATGGTCAAACTCTTGAGAAGAGGTCAGAGGGAACTCTGCTCCTTGTTACTGCAGATTGAATTTTAGCTTTAACAATACAAAAGATAACTTCATAACCTTCTCTGATGGAGAAGCCATCTAACATCTCCAAACCGTATCACATTCTAGGTAAGGCAGCTAAATAATAAACATATGAAGGATTTCAGGCACAGATGGGATGTAATGGCCTTCAGGAGTGACTGCTTCTAAAGTTTAGACAAATTAATGAAACCCTCAACAACAAGGTGAGCCACAGCCTCTTGTCTGGTATCATCAAAATGAGTCCACATTAAATTAGCAAGAAGTCATTCCCTATCCATCTCCTTTTTTATACTCCTTAGACTGCTTATCATACAATAAGTAGGACTTCCCAACCTCTCAAAATCAAAGATAAACACAGGAATCCATCTGAGTTATTTATATCTCCTATAATCTTGGTTTGTTTTCCCTATCCAGTTATTTATAGTCTAATCAGCACATACGGTTTTTAGTAGTCACATCTAGATTTGAAAGAAGGTAATTCGTCATCAAGTCTATTAGGCTCGTGGAAACTCTAAAGTTTAAATTAAAAGAAGTAATTTTAGGTGTGTGGGTCTGATGCTCTTTATAATTTCCCTATACTTAACTAAGTAGGGAACTTCACCTATACTACAGCCCCAAGTGGAAAAAAAAGGTTGTTATGATCTCTCCTTATTCAGCCCATATGGGTTCCCTCCCCCACTTTATTCTATAGCCCTTTCACCACTATTTGTCTCCCCAGATGTCAACAATTTTAGTGTCAATGGAAAAAAAAAAAAAATCAGCATAAGCAGTAAGCAATTGGGGGGGGGGAGTTGCCATCTAAATGGCTCTATTTAAACTCATCAGAAATATGAAGTGACAATTGGTGCAGAAGGAACTTCATAGAAATATTATTTGAATAAATGTGTTTTCCCTATCAAAAAAAAAAAAACAAACCAACAAAACCTCTGCAAATTTCTTTTGAGAAATATGGTTTTTTATTTCTCACTGAATATACTATGGTCTATCTACACTGCCAAGTTTCACTCCACAGTAAGTTGGATAGTATATCTCTACGTAACTGCCAAAACCGGTAAACACAGAATGACACTTTTTGGGAGGGATTCAATCCACACTGGATCATTAATTATTGTTCAGTTCTTGAGGATGGAACAGGCTTGAGATTAGGTAAATTGAATAGTTAACATTGTTATGTGACTGATCCCTTGTCAGTGATTTCTCAAACCTGAAAAACTGCAAGAAAGAAAAGTCGTTATAAAATCAAAAATCCTGAGTTCACCATTTAAGTAGACAATAATTTAAGTGTTACACATAAACGCTGTTTAACAGAATAAAGCTTTAGTGTTTAACCTGTTTCAGCCCCTCACCAAAACACTATCTAGTTACAGTCATATTGGCCCTCGTCAGTCTTTCTCAAAAATAGGTACTCTGACTTGGAAATAAACTTAAAAATTGAACTGGTCTGGAGTTTCTACATACAGACCAGGTAGTCTCTATACAACAAACAATAAACACTCAGCATGCCTCCTATCTGTACTTCTAAACCTTGTGCCAATTGCTCATATGGAGTAGTGATCTGCTTGCAGGAAGAAATCAAACTCCCACACCAATACTGTTGACTGTAACGCTTCCATTCCAATTTTTTTTTTTTTTTTAAATTGTGTTTTATCATCAAAACGTGCAAGATGATTCTTAACCTTGCGTATGACCCACAAACTGTTAAAGCCATTTGGATAACAGGTTTTAAAAGAATGACAGCCTAGTGATTTGCAGCTAGATTTTGTTTCCAGTGCTTTGATTTCAAGGCTAGCCAAATGACTTTAGCATACATTATTTCATCTCTCATCAACGGTATCAAAACAACTTCAAGCGGTAGTGAGTAAAATACAGATCCCCATCTCCACAGCACCGTGAGTCCCAAGAATTATTAAAGACTATTCTTGCAGTGAAACCATTCCCCAATTAACACTAAAACAAAACCATACCTTTTGGGTGGTTTTGGTGTTCGTGGAGGTTTTTTGAGTATTTTTGATTATGTCAAATTTTTTTTTTGAACTATTAAAAGGTAGGCATTTAGAGAAGTTCCTCAGTTGCTTGTATCCACGGGATGGATATAAGTAATGTGTCTTCCAGGGAATTAGAACTTTGCAAGTTTTAACTGGAACTCATAGTTCAATACAAAATTTAATTTAAATGAGAAAAAAGTCAGTCTGTTCTAACATGAATGCTGTACACTGAAATGAGCTCACTTTAATACTTTTCGAACCTGTTAAAAAAACGAAGCTGTCTCCTGAGCTCATAATGAAACCGAGCCAGAGGAGCTTTGGCCACCTCTGCTGACAAAGCAAGAGGCCAAATTCCACCCCGAGCTCCAACACCGTAAATACAGAGCACCTCCACCAGCTTCTGGAGGGCTGCCCCACAAGGCCAGGGCTAGCTCCATGCAAAATGCAGGTGCGAGGAAATGATTCCCTCTCCTCTGAAATAAGCAGAAAAGAGGAGGAGCCATCAGGGCGAAGGCACCCAAGTCCATCAGCCAGGCAGGTGACAGACCACACGTGGCCCTAGCTTCAAGAGCACAAAGTTTTCATATTTCGAACACGTTAATAATTAAGTCTCATGTTGTGGCAGAGCTAATTAACAGCTTGACACCCCAGTAAGAGCCTGTCCTCCTCTTCCAAGCCACATGCTCCCTTCTTTTGTGCTGCTCTGTCACTCCTCTGACAGTACGGAAGCTAATTATTTTAACCATTTTAGATGATTGAAAAGGTTTTGCACATCTATTGACTTTCTAAAAAGCCCACGTTGCCAAACAAAAATTACAACAGTTACTGTATTCTTTCTTGTATGGTGGTTTATTGCATGAAGCTGCAGATCAAAGCAAGTCTCCCTTCCATCTCTGTCTCCCACTTCCCTGCCAAGAGGACGCTTCCGTCACGGAGGGACTGTCAGTGCTTCTGGCCATTTTTACTCCTTCAGGAATCACGTCACAATCTACTTGAGAAACCTCTGTCCCAAGGTTTTCAAGGCTAATTATAGCCTTGGTTGCAATCCATGACACGTTCAAAATTCTTGTATAAAACCAATTTTGGAACAAGTATGCTTTTTTCTTGTTCCATAGTGACCTTTTATGCATGCATTCAAGATCACTTCAGTTTAATTATGTTTTTTTCCTTCAATTATAGAAGCCAATATCAGGCATTTCAGTTCCTCCAGCTATAGCAATGCATCTTTCCTATTTCTTTCTTTCCACATAGCACTACAGGGCAAAGAAGTAATTTTACTACACTATTTTCCTTTCCTTAGTGCTTATAAAGCATCCAGCTCTAGCACACAGGCATAGGTTTTATTCTGTGTTTTTACTGACCGTTTTGCATACCTTATTACTAAGAGCAAACCCTACCAGGCTTCATTATAAAGTTCCCATTCTGAGACCAGTTACTAAAAAACTCTCTGAAGTTCAGGAAGTTCTCAGCCCAGTTCGTAGCAAACACATACCAACTTACCATTTCACACCACAACACCTGCATTAGCAGAGAAACAATATGAAATTCAGTGATTTGGGCACTTTTACTTTTAAATTTATTAATCCTGTACATTTAATAACAAGAACCTACTGCACTAGCTAAGCAGAAAATTAAAACCAAACACATAAATGCATTATAATTTATAAAGTTTAGCAGTTAGAAGCAATCCATGAAAAAAATACTATGCCTCCATCTGATTCACAACAAAACGGGTAACCCATCTTCCGCTACATAAGGCGCTTCTCAGGAAGTAAATCTATGGAGCAAGAGGTGTGACCAAATGAAAAGTAAAGATAATTAAAGGGCAGATGGGCCTGCTTCGCTAACACAAATGACCCAGGACTTGCTGACCTTGGCTGGGACCCAGAGGTTTGCATTTTCACATGGATAAGCAGCTGTTCCGGAACAATTTCCTCAATGAAATAAGCACAAACAGGCTCCCTGTCGCCGTCAGGGACACATGTCTTCTCCCTCCACTTGGTTATTCTCAAAGCAGCTTACGGACCAAACAAGGTGATGACAAGG